AGTTCAGGTTCCAACTAAGAGAAAGTCGATTCTTGCACAACTTCTTCGTGTCCTAAAGGCAAAGAAGTAACTTCAACCATTGACAGCTCGAATTATAGTCACGCTCCATAAAATTTCTCTGCGTGACCGCGTAAGCACGCGACTCCGGCAGACGTTTCACCTGAGCAAGATCATGTAAAGGAGTACGGACATATGTGACAACGAGAACAGTGGGTATTCGTCTTGAAATACATTTGTGATAGTTGGTGAATTAATTAGTATATTTGTATGAGGTGAGAGTTGTAACCACTAGCCTCACGAGACGCATGCAATGCTCATAGAATTCGACGCGATACACTGTCTCGGATTTTGCACTGTCTACATAACATGTCAAGTCCCCAATCTTGTAAATCTTGCCACAATTTTCTGAATTGTTTTCTCTCATGCGATATGAAGAAGCTTGTTACTAACAGAGTCAATGGTTCAAATTTAATGTGATTTTTAACTTTTCAAATCTGGTGCCATCTTTCCGTAATCATGGAAGTGTTCATCACAGGACCTCTTCGGCGGAAGGTGAAATGCTCCAAACTTCTTTATTTTCTCGTGCTCTTGAATGAAAAAGGTCGTATCAGCATCACCTGGCCCCTCGGCCTACCTCGCTACTGGGAAAGAGGATCTGAAGCAATCGTAGAAGGCGAGAGCCTCATCAGAGAATAGTGACTTTGAAGCAAAATTTGGCACGATTTTTTATTTCATCAGGAAGTATTTTTATTACTTTCCTCGATGTCATCTTACCCAACAACAGAGATGGCTAAAATATGAATGATTACTCACAATAATTTGGAATACAATTTTGGATACATAGTCGGTACAACCTACTCTTGTTAGGAGTACGACCAAATACTTCACGTGGTATAAACCGATTCGAACGATCACCGCCGAGTTTCGTTATGCAATTCTTTTATTGCACGGCAACCTACAACGAACGAATTAGGGTACCGCAACAAACAAGAGAATGGTAATACACAAAGAAAAAGAACACTGGGGTAGAGATATGGAGGTGATAGTACGGAGAGATTCCAATAAGAGAACCGATATGGAGAGATTCAAATNNNNAAAAAAAACAACGCAACTAGTAGCCAAACAGGCGAAACAACAATCAATCGACAATCGTTAATCGATTGTCAAGCGCAAAATAAGGCGTATAGATGAAAGGGCGGTCTCGGGTGCTAATCAACTGGAAGGGTTTCTTCTCCTGAGGGAGGAGTGGCAGGCTTCTGGACGGCGTTGCGGGATGTCGACTGGCTCTATTGGCGCGTTGGTTCTGCTCGGCACTCTTTCCCGCGCAAATTCTGCAGTAGATTATTGATAGATCAAAACATTGATTATTTGACTCCTCTCTCGACAACATGAAGGAAGTCCACGGTGGTAATCGTCAACTACCGCAACTGTTGCGAGTTTCAAGGCATATGTCGTGACATCATGAGTGTCATCAACGGCAATTCCTTTACTCACAAACTATTCCTGCCATTTTTGCCGGGGTGGTGTGATGATCACTGCAATAGGGCCCTTCCAAAAACTTAATTCGTTTATCATAAGACAAACCGAACTACAGCTAAACCCTGCCCACTCGGCTCGTCTTGCTTCTTTAAAGGACGTCCTTTGAATTTCGCTCTTACTCTCTTAATTCGAATGAAGTAATGTTATCCCTGTCGCGCATTCCTGGCATCAGCTTGTACTTTGTCATAACATGCCAGAGAAATTTCGTAACAAAATACAACTTGCATTCCTTCAACACATAGTCCCTCCTCATTTTTTGCATAATGTAGTCGGTGAGAATTCCTAGAAGGTGCGGTGATGATTGTGATACATTTTACATAAATAGCGCCGTCTACCTTAGACCATGTACTTCAGATACTCTAACTCTTCGTTTAACCACCGTTACAAGGCAGGATAGAGGTCGTGTCTTGTGGCCAAAACACCTACGACTTTCACTGTGCCATCTTCTTCGAAGTGCACATTTGCAAAGGCTGAACAGTACCAATGCTCTTGCTACGGCGCATACGACACTCTCCTTGCGGAGCACCCTCACCACACTTACACCTATATAATTACCAATTAGGATAACGTGTAAAGAGGTGTAACAAGCTATAATGATCAAACCGTATTATCGAGTCCTTTCCGCCTTTTTTGTTTGACCTGCGGGAAAAATGAACTGCAATTCGTTTCGCATAATCTCTCCATACATTCTAAACTATCTTTTTCTACTAGGGATTTCCATCTTACATAGCATTTATCCCAAAGTCCTCCGAGCCCCGAAAAGGTACATTGTCGACAATGTATCTTGAGGTCTTTTCATGTCTTCGCCATTCAGATGATCAATTCCACACTGCTCACTTTATTCCTCATGAGTTTTAATTACCTCTTCACAAAGGCAGCACTGTGATGATGCACCAAAACCCTTTTCCTCTACGACTACTGACAGACTTTGATGCAGTAGAATGCTCAAAATTCCGATGCATCTAGAGGCTAGTTTTCAATTTTCAAAAAATTTTCCACACTCTCTGCAGGCATGCGTCTGCTTCCCATCGCTTTCAGATTCCTCCTTCTTGACCTGCGCCATGACTCCTTCAAACGTGGGTAAAAGACTATGTACTGAGCGTAGATGCTCGAGTATACTATATTTGCTCATACTTCTACCAGAAGTGGATCGGATTGTTTTGACTCCATTTCAGCTTTCTGAACGAAATCGGTTCAAGGCATTGAGCGTTCACGTAATTAAAAAAAGAAATGCTTGAAGTGCACAGCTGTCCGCACCACAACAAGCACCTAGCTCGCCGGATTTAGTGCTCTCCCTTGCGAGGCGGGGATCGTGGGTTCGCTTCCAGTTGTCGTCGCAGTTTTTGCACACATACTTTTTTTGAATGAAGGCACTTATAACCTTTCCTGATATTTATTGATGTGAGGCTTATACATGTCGTTGCTTATAATTATTACTCTTACATAAGAGCTTTCTGCACGTAGTCGATATGACTGTTTTATTTTTATCACTGAATTACCTGGAAAATTTGTCTCAGAGTGCACAGATGTAAAAAATTCAAAAGCGACAGAACATCCAAAAAATTGGTGAAGAAGGCATATTGTTCAAGAATTTCTCTCTTTGAACATGGTGCTCCTGACAGCCATCCATCTAGATGTGAGTCAGCGGTCTTTAGACTGTGCATGGTACATCGCGGTGGACCCAAATCGAAAAAAAGCATATCATTAGATACTAGCTGTTACACTATCGACTGATTTTCATTCACCGAATCATTAAACAATCATATTTTCTTCGTATTTTATAGGAAGCCTATAATCACGAATTGCAGAAACAATCAGCCTCAAATAATTGTGATAAGCACAAGCGATAGCCTAAATAAGGAGCTTACTTGAATGAATATTGAAAAATACATAAAAGTTTCACTTGGAGAAAGCACGCTTACAACAACTTTTCGACGGTGCGAAGCAAACACACAACCTAAGTAGAGCACTATCTCCGCACCACGACGACGCTTGCTGTCTCGCAGACAGCTGCATCGTTCAACGGAAACTGTACCCAAGCAGATTTTGGGAGCTCATAACGTTTTTTGGGAGGCTCATTCAGCAGTTTCACCCTCTTTATCCGTAAGGTTCACAGACAAAATGGTTCCAGAGACTTCCCCATAGATGAATTCGAGGCCCCTACTGATACCATAGCCGATGTCAGGTCGAGAAACGTCCTGGATAGGGCACAATAAGGGGCCTGATATATTGTGTGAATGCCGCACCGAGCCTCAACGGTATTATAGAGGCCGCACTACCTCAAAGGAATCGCATGATGGACAACACGAAGGTTCACACTATTTGTTATGACCCGTGCCGACAGTTGAAGGCAGTTCTAGACAGTTTTGAACTGGTGTAATCAACCCTTCGCGCAGTTGTAGCGACCGAAATCTCGTCTTGCCATCTCCGTCATGGTAATCTACAACATCTAATTCCACTACATTTGGATAGTCTTATTTTTTGCTCAGTAAGCGGAATCTCTCGCTTTCTTCGCTACCGATGCACTACTCAACACATCCTCTCTGAATTTTAAATAGGTACCTGAACATTATCGTGAACTGTGCCTTCAAGCAATATTAATATACCTAAGTTTTTATTTAAAATCTCATGGGAATTCGAAACCCTCCTATCGTTAGAAGCATCGTAGCAAAAAATCAGAATTTTTTACACCTGTGCACTCTGAGACAAATTTTCCAGGTAATTCAGTGATAAAAATAAAACAGTCATATCAACTACGTGCAGAAAGCTCTTATGTAAGAGTAATAATTATAAGCAACGACATGAATAAGCCTCACATGAATAAATATCAGAAAAGGTTATAAAGCCTTCATTCAAAAAAAAAGTATGTGTGCAAAAACTGCGACGACAACTGGAAGCGAACCCACGATCCCCGCCTCACAAGGGAGAGCACTAAATATGGCAAGCCAAGTGCTTGTTGTGGTGCGGACAGCTGTCCACTACAAGCAAAACTATCATCAATGAAATTTTAGTAACTCCTATCTTTCTTGTAAAAAGTTTCACCTTTTATAATCAGCATCAAGAAGTCTATTGATATATCTACGTCATCATTCTGCGTTACCTCCTTATTCAATTTAAAACTCGTGTTGCATCACTTCAAAATTCGAGAAAATTCACAACATACGAGTAAGCAACTATCGAATTATTTATAAATCAAGTGCAACTTGCATTCTTCTTTATAGGGTTTCTGCACGAGCTTTTGGTGTTACCACTGAGATGACAAGTACAGTTTGACGTAAGCTTTTATTCAATTATTTGTTCGAGATAAAAGAGATACTAGCAGAGGTAGAGTAAATACAGAGCAGTAGTCCATTCAATTTATATTGCAAATTAAAGCAAAATAGTAGTTGAAGCAAGACAGCAGAGTAAATTATGGAAATTAAATTGAGATCAGAAAGAATTTCCTTTCGAGAGGTTCTGCTTTACTCTTTCTTGAAAAACGCGTCGAGCTTCTTTTTTGGCGGTGGTTCTTTCGCCTCAAGTCTCACAGGTCGTTTCTTTCCTTGCGACTTGTTATTACCACGTTCTTCTGCTGCTGCTTTTAATTTTTTCGCCTGGTCCAGTTTATGGAAGTGGGCTAATTCCTGCAATATACACATTAAATACTTATGCTGGTAAAGTTAGCATAATAGGAACCTGGTTTAAAGTTCAAGGCTTCATCTACGATCCAAATTTCCCAGCCACCCTTATATAATAAAGCCTGCCCTCATCACTGAGCGTAGCTCCATGCGAACGTGCTAGCACGATAGACCTCGTCGTGTAGGCGACGTGCCTAGAATTGTTCTGCATGTAGTCGCTCCGATACATTATTCCGTACTGTTCACTCAACGTGGCCGCTCGCACCTTGCGTTTTCTAATATGCAACCGTAATGTTCGAAACTACGCTCCAAATATCATTCATTGCCTCCTTTCAGTATTTTTTATTTCAACTTCAACGTCCTTGAAACGACTGCGACTTTCATGCCCGATTCCGTCATGCCCACGGCCGCCTGCCGAACTCCCTGAACATGCCTACTGCTGCCTGCCTAGAGACTTCTGCCTCTAAATGCATGCCTACAGTGTACAAGCACTAACGCCAAGCAGAAATGGGATGTAAAAATGCAATTATCGCTAACCTCACAATCATGAAAAATCACACCCGTAGTAGGTCTATGTATGTAGTCACGTGATCCCCTAGTTTTAGAGCTATAAGGATAGTTTGGCTCGGTTCAAGGTAAGTTTTGACTGACTTATCAAAATTTTTCTCGATTCCTTTTTTTGAAAAAAAGTTACGATTGGAGAAATCTTTTACCGAAGACTTTTGACCGCTACTTATATAGGCTCATCAGGGGTGTGGCGCATTAGGAACGAAATGGTCGCGTCGCGGTGAGAGGGACGTCGCGCACGAAGGAATGTAGCAGGATGCAGCAGTAGGTAAGAAATACAAGTACAAAAGTACTAATAGTAGATTTATGCATAAAATAATGATCGCATAACGATTGAGCTATATGAAAAAGGCTAGAGCTGTAATAACGGCGAATGAGTGGTCCGCGACAGCCGCGTGCGGCGAATCGATTACCCAAAATCGTTGAAAACGCCCGTCTCCCGCTCATCAGTGATGTATCTGACGTTTATTGGCAACATTTTAAAGACGGGGAAGACGCTCACTCTCTGTTAAATAGTCTGCCTGATGGCGAGCTGGAAAGTATATGCCACATATTTTTTTGTTTACATAAAGTTTATGTTTTTGTTTCAATTTTATTTATCATATTTCGATATGTAATAACTTTCCCAATTCATACATTCGCATTAGCACAGACGAGTCTATTGGCAGAGAGAGCCAACCAATTTAACGTGACCACCCCACAGGGGAGTAGGTGTAAATGCGGATGTGAGTAACCTGACTTGTAAGTAAATGGGCATATCCCTTTCAAACCTCTTTTCTATTGTTTTGCCGACTTAGACTTGCCTTTTCTCCAAATGTTAGGGTAAGCAAGATTTTCCTGGAAGGAGATTCAATTTTCGTCAAATTCAAGGCCATCTTATTGCTGAACAAATTTTAGGAATCATGCACGTTCCTACAATGATCTCCATTAGTACCTAACTGTGCGAGCAGCTGTGCAGTACATTAGAAATATCTTGCCGCCTAACAGTAAGCGAAAAGCCGTTGCTCAAATTCATAAAAACAGAAGCAGTTCAAGGTAACTTACTGCTTTGATGTTTTCCGGAAGTTCTTGAAAGACAGACGGAGATATTACACCAATGTCGTTAAGTTCCAGAGCAGGGACTGCGTCTGAAGAAGCTTCAAAGGCGCGAGGGTTGTACACCTGAGCACAAGATTCTGAACTAAATTTGTTTCTGAAAGCATCTGCACTATGTGGACACACCTGCCAGCCATCTTCATCCACTTCGGGTTCTGCACCGGCAGACTTTACCGTTGCAGTCGTTTTGATTGGAGAGTCGCTTTCAGAAATCGTGCCACCAGACGGGCCAGGAACTTCCTGTGTGTGATTATGGATTCACACAGAAGATTAATGACCAAATCATCGACTAACCAGGTGACTTGATGGCTTCAACACTCCCTTAACGAAGACTCGTGGATCTGGAGCGGATTGGTCGGTTGATTCGAGCATGCTACTTCCTAAGATTCAAGTTTTCATGTCATGTTTTCATTTTCATTCAAGCAACAACAAATACAGATACCGAAAGAATGAGAGGGGTTGCTACTAAAAAGGGAAAGCAGTCAATAACCGTTGCCAGAATCAAATCTTGTGGGCACTAATTCATATATTATGTAATCGTGTATATCTTGGAACATCTTACTGTCTTTAAACAATGTGGCGATCAGCTCTCATGCACCCTCTTCTATGAGAGAGCCGAATTCAGTGCCTTGATTTTTGCAAAAGTTGGGCTTCTTGAGTAGCCTGAGACAGCGACCAATTGAGACAGTAGAGCCCCATCTTGTAACTATCCGTTTGGAGTCATTACGCTGTTCATCGGAGCACGCTGTTCTTTGACAGTATTCCAATAGGCTTTGTGATCAAAATTAATAACAACTGGGATCTGTTCCTTCAAAGGAAGATTCATGCGAGTTGTGTCGTTGAGAGATAATAAAACACGCGAAGATATACGAGATTACAACAATCAATTAAGACCATACGTAAAGCAAGCGATGGACCAGCATATGCGAGCATATGCGCTATGACAGGCTTCCTCTTCGTCGAGAAGGACCACCACGCGTAAGGAATCAATGAAAAGAGCTCAAAAGTATTAAAAAAGACAAAGACAAAAAACAGACAAGCATTAAAAAGGATCGCCCATCCTATCAAAGAGCGCATAGGAATGGCACAAGGAATACAGCAGTAGATAAGCTTCGTGCTCGTTCCGTTAACTGAATAACCTCAAACGGTACATCAAGCGTCTCAACTTGTTTCCGTGTCATGCTACAAAAGAAAAATCAAAATTTTACAGCAATCATAATGTAGTAGGTTGATGCATAGTTATTGCGGATTTTTTCGGCCTCTTTTCTTTCTATACAATTTGAAATTTGGATTGTGGTTTTTTATGGGAACTACCTCGCTTTCCATGACAGTAATGAGCCTAGAAAATCATCTTCATATTCGCCACACTACGCTTTACTAAATCGAGAGAGTTGAAGGTGGCAGAGTCAATTATCAATCTCAAAAAACTTTTCGTCGATGAAACAATTAGCCAGAGCTAAATTAAAAAAAAGGATCTGCTCCTAAATCCGCCTATACACCGAGAGAAACTTCAATGGATCATCACGTCAACTGTTCGTCGGAAAATTGGCTAACCAACAGAACTCATGACGAAATGGACACTTGATGGGCGATGTGGATCGCCTCCCAGAATCGTAACTTCTTCGCCTGTGGATTGCGACCTCCTAGCAAACGGGAAGCGTTTGGAACAGATTTCTAAAATACATCTTTTGTCGATGTCATACTCAAAATTTTCCTTTCCTCGACTACCAACAGGATTTGCAGCTATTTTGAGGTGGATCGGTCCACACATGACGGGAAGGGCTTATTGTAAGCTCGATCTGATTGTGTGATACATGTGAACGGAATCCGACTGGTACAAATGAATCGAGCTCGAAACGTCGTAGGACTTGGTCAATTCGGATGAGTAGGCAACAACAAATGTGTGCTCCTCTATAAAGCACTACTTTTTCTCACTATACTTAAGTGAGGCATCATTGACGATGTAATGACGAAGTGCTCTTTGGGCATTCGGAATGCAGGCTAGTCCACCCTTTGTATGAATGTGGTAGAATGCAGTGTTCTAGTAGGTGCAATACGTTGCGCTGCCATCGCACTCCGAGCACCCCAGGAAACAGCTCGGTATCAAAACGTCAACTTTGACGCCATTTTCTTTCAAGTCAGATTGTGTGAAGTGCGTCGGTTACAATATGGGAGAAAACATTGTTCAACTTCGAGATGCAATGTTGATAACATGATCGAATATGTATGGCATCACTTTGATGGTCTTGAAACGTAAATATAATGTCACAACTTCAACTATCATCATTTGAGTAGCATTACTTACCTTAGTGAACCCTTCTCCGTTGCATTAGTACTGAGCACACTGGTTTAAAGAAAGCTCACCAGCTCCGCCTGGCTTCAGGCGTTTTTCCACCCACTCCATTATGCTTTGGTTTTGAGCACTGACGCCACTTACGAACCGAGAAGCGCTCATATAGAGATTAAAAATTGGTGGATCCCTGTAAAAGAATGTTCACGCTTTAGGCTTTCACAAGGAAAAAAATATGAGGCAGCATGGCAAAATATGAGGCACAAGGAAAAAAATATGAGGCAAAAATAAGAGGAAAATATGACAGAAGTTACCACTTATCGCTATTGAGTGGGGCTCGGTTGAAATTTTTCGCTGCAGACCACATAACATCGGCAAGCACTTGAGGGTTGTAGGAGGAGATTTTAAGCGTTTTTGAAGTTCGGGTGTTATTCAATATCCCAAACACGACATTCTCTGCTGTTCGCTTATTCTGCAAAATTGAACGCATTACTGGGCCACTGAATCTCATTAGCGCCCCCTCTGAAAAAGAATCGCTAAAACACGAACTATCACATCAAAAACACACCTTGACCTGATCAGCTACAAGACGTTTCGAGAGTTCTTTTGATAAACCTTCAATCCATCTGAAAAAGGCTATGGTGATGCTCGAAGCACACGCTAGGCTCAACACTCAACATGCTTACAGCAACGAAGGATATGTGACGAGGGAATGTGCTCCAAAAGAGTGGGACAGCTAGTGGGGAAGCCTTCTTAACTCCATGCTAATTCAGCTCTTTGCGCTCTCTCGCCAGAATAGCATTCGAGGTGTATAAACAAAGCCAGTGCGAACCTCTTCGCGGTAGCTTCAGACTGACATTTCACGAGGTGCGAATTCCACTGGGCTCTGCGTTTTTGACATTGAACGCTGGAGCGCAGAGCGGCTTCGCTGGTCCGTACAAAATTGGTGGATCGTCTTCAGTGTCAATCATTCCCGTTTTTTGGGATGCGCTGCATTCGATTTCCTTTCATAATCGTAGTGAAGTATTGAATGCGTATGTGTCTATACAATGAATTCCACCAGCCAGCTAATGAATAGGCCAGTGCTTTGATTCTCTCCGAATAGTATGGTACCAATAAACGGACCCTAGAAGGAATAAAGGCTCGGTTGACTTGGAAGGATACCGACCCAGGTTTGGAACAACGGATCATACATGCAAGATAGTGTGCCAATGCCTATAACACCGCTGCCTGACGCCCATAGTGGAGATAGACATGTTTCTTACAATAGGCCAAGAAATAAGTACTTACCTTAAACCGAAAAAGAGGAGTACCGGATACGCGAGATGCCGATGTCGTGTAAAAGGTGTTATGATAATGGAATCGACGAGTGACTATTCGAAAGTGTAACGTAGTGTCTAACCAGGGAGGGGTAGTCTACTTATCTTGGAACTTTGAATTCAGACTCAGATAAATCGATAGAGTTTTGAATGCTGTTTGCGAAAATGGAAATTAAAACTGCAAAATGATTCTCCTTAGAAAGTTATGGGGGCCCGAATTTTGCTCGACAGTAGTAT